TTTCTGCAGCTGTTTTATTTCAGAAGCTGTTGATTCATTGCTTTCAGCTGTGTGATTTCCAATTTGTTCTGTGTTAGTGTCCTCTGCACTTGTTACGGGTTGGCTTGGGTCCTGAGGTTGCATTTTGTTCCTTCTCGTCATTTTGTGTAGCACTGCCTTCTGCCCTTTGTTGTCGATCTTTCCTGTAATTATAACCTTCACACGTACTGAAGTTCAGGTGGAGCTCTACAGAGTTTGGAGTTATCCAGCTGCGTGTGGCTTAGGTATGGCTGCTGTGCTCAGCTCCTTCCCACTGTGGACCTGGTCTAGGCCTGGGTCTGGGCGTTCCAGAACTCAGCAGAAATTCCTAGTGGGCGGGAGGTGTGGGGGAGGTATGGCGGAGTGGTGGTGGGGGGGCCCAAGCGGGTGGGAGAGGGTCCGGCCCACAGTGCGCCTGGGCTGGGACTGGTCCCGCCATCGCAGGGTAGGAGGAAGCTCTCCACACACTCACCGGACATGGGCTAGGACTGGGTCTGTGGATTCCCGGAGGTCGGCAGAAATTCTTTTTCGGCGGGAGCAGGTATTTTTCATCAAGTATTGATATGTTGAACTTTAAGTCCCTGCATAACCAAATACATTTTAAAAAAGAAAAAAGAAGATGCAGAAAGAATTTGTGTTTTCAAAATGTGCTCACATTTTACTTGATCCATTCACATACAACCAGTGGTTTAGCTGGGCATCTAGGGTGAATTTCAGTGCCAAGATTTATCTGAGTATAAACTGCATTTCACACCTAGGCATATGGTTAGGATATAGACAGCTTTTTTGGTAAAGCAGCCCTCACCTCTGCCAACATATAGAGAAAATGTAGTAAGGTAGCACAGTATCTTCCCTACTTTCTTTTTAGCAAAAATGTGTAGTAGTTACATTTGCACCTAAATATTAGAATCAGTGTGTTAATATCAGCTAAAAGTCATGGTATGCACGTAGTAATAGTAATAGGTTTTTTTTTTTTTTTTTCTTGAAATGTGTTGTCTTATGAGTTTCTGAAATTTGTTATGCTGTTCTTAACCTGTTAAACACAGATTCTTTGAGGACTATAGAGCTGTAGATCTCTTTAATCTTGTGGTATTTGAATTTTAGGTCAACTATTTTGCCCAGCAGATTCTCTAGCAGGTTTTGGGGTGCCTCTTTAGTAAATATCATCTTGCACTGTTTTCGAAATTGTTTTATTTCAAGATTTGGAATTTTTTGATACTTATGACCAGATTTTATCAAATATTTGGGGAAAATGTCATCATATAATTTTTAGAAAAATGGAGCCAGAATTAACTGTACCTTCATCTTCTTTTGGCAGAGAAATTGCTTTTACTAGGCAACTTCATGAGAAAACATCTCAGCTCAGCTATTATTATATGGGATTCTACATTCATTCATGTCCCAAGATGAAATATAAGGTAAATGTAATTTTTGTACATTTGTCTATTTTCATTGTAGAAAAATGAAACTTTAATAAATTTTTTATCTCAGGGCATAGGATTTGGAGCTTTAAAAGAGGGATGAATAAGTTAATAAGGAAATCTCTTGGCTGTCTCAGAAAGTAAGCCTTCTGTAATGAGAACCACAGCCTGTGCTGGTCTTACTTTGAAATCCATCATGTTATTTTGAGATTTAAGTATATTTTAGAATTTCCTCTTTAAAAAAAAGATTGTATGACTTTCTTTGGTGAAGCTCTTTGATGTTTCATAAGTATTACTAGAGAGCTGTGCAGAGGAGCAGACCGTTTCTTCCGTCCCCTGTGATTGCCCACCATCACAAAGGACTTTGAGCTGAAGATTCAAAAAGATACAGGCATGAGCATGACAGGTGAAGCTCTGAAGATTAGAAAAGATGTAAGCATGAGTCTTCCACTTAAGACATGTGGTCTAGGTGAATCTGGAGACGTTAGATATGCATGCAGGCTGTACTGTGCTTAGTAAGTGACCTAGAAGGACATGAGGTTTTAATCCATAAGATGGGGAAGAGGAAGAAAAGAGGGTCTTCAGCACAGAGTAGGTATGATGGAGAAGCACATTTCCAGTAGAAGGAACAGTGAAAGTCATGACAGATGAAAGTGCCTGTAATATATTCATAGGGAAAAGGTGATTTGAGGACTAGGAAGGACCTTGAAAGCAGGCATAAAGAACTCTAGCAATTGGGAAGTCTCTAATGGTTTTCAGAGTAAAGAGCAGTATAGGTAAAAATTACAAATCTGTTCTTATCTATAAACATGGTTTTAATTAAATAATGAGAATTTAAAGCAAACTAAAAAAAAGTATACTTGAATTCCTGTGTATCCAATGTTGAATAACAGCTTTCATTATACATCTTATTTCATCTATTTCTTTGCCTTACTCCCACCTCTGCCCCCTTTTAAATGATTTTGGAGCAGATTGAAGATATATGTCATTTAAAAATATTTTAGGGTAAAGATAAGTATTCTTTGAAAATGTGAGCACAATTTTATCATCGTATCTAAAATATAGTAGCAGTGTTAATATCTAATGTGTTCAGATTTCTCTAGTATGTGACCTAGAAGGACCTGAAGTTTTAAGGACATGAGGTTGTTTCCTAGTTTTTTTTCACTGTCACTTTGCGTGACTTAGGAAGGACTTGAATAAAGGCCGTACATTGTATTTGGCTGATATGTCCCTAGAGTTTTAATTCATACCTTGTCCCCTTTTGTGAGAATGATTATGTTTTCAAAACTGTAAGGTCAAGTATCGAGGGGCTGATGGTTCAGTGTCAGAAAGTATGCATTCTAAAAATAAGACTGGCCTTGAGAGCACAGTGTGTCCTGCCATTTGCAGATTCTCTTTTGATTTATTATTTATTTAATCTCTTTTACACATTTTGGACAGAAAACTTCTGTATTTGGTTATTTTCAAAATTACCTTTATGTCTGAATTATAAATTTGCTTGATTTACTTAAACAGACCTTTTCAGAAGAAAAAGTATGATCATATTTCTGTTTGTCCCCAAATGTTTCTTGCTCCTGTTTTAGCTAGTGTCTTCTACTTCATTTTCCTGGTACAGTAGTAGATCTAAGTTAGTTCAAATTAGAAAACTCAAATGTTCTGGGTGTTTTGATATTATAAAACTCAAAGCAAGTTCTGGCTACACTGTAAAAACCTTCCTTCATGTAGTAGTTGTACATGACCATTCTGTCTATCTACCTACCTATCTATCTATTTATTTATTCTGTATTTTAGGGAAGGGTCTATAGGGTGTTCAGGGTCTCACTACTAGGTTGGACTCCTAGTGATTTTCCTGTTTACAGCCTCCCAAGTGCTGGGATTACAGGCATGCACCACTGTGCCCAGTCTCAATGGCCATCTCAGCAAACCCTGGCGGGGGGGCTGGCACGGCAGGCCCGGGAATCAGGACCACCCCCACCCCCTGGCCCCTGCGCCTGCTTGCAGGTGCTTTAATTTTGCTGAGCTATTTGACCAGCCCTACATGACTATTCTAATGAGAAATGTTTTTATACCACACTTCAAGTCTTGCTAGGATTTCATTTTTAGCTCTTTAATGTCACAGAATTGATGTTTAATGTTTAGTGTCAGAACATTTGTCTTGTACGTTTTTTCATATGCCTGAACTAATTTCTAATTTCCTCTATGTTTTAACTCATTCTGATTTTTTTCAGTGGAAATGCATCTACTTTCATCATCTTATCATTTTTATGAAGACTTTTAAAAAAGTCATCACAATCAGTTTAAGTGCACAGAATAGTAATCAATCATGTCAATAAAAATAAAACAATTACTTTTACATCATGTGCTCTATTTCCTCCACAGGTGTTCTGTTTAATAAAACACCATTTTAAAAAAAATTAAAATTAAAAAAAACCCAACCAAACAAACAAAAAAACCCACCATTTATATACTGCCAGGCCACCGCTAAAGGGGATTCTTCATAGAATGAACTTCCTTGTCGTTGTTCCATATACAAGTAAACTTAATTTTCATAATAAGAGCCGGTGTCCTCTGTGCCAGTTTTGTACCTTCATGAAGACTTTCAGTTCACCCCTTTATTTTTTTCACCCCTTTATTGACTAGTCCACATTAAATATTTGATATTCTTTAGTTCTAGGAAGAGATTTCTTCTAGTTTTCTTAGGAAGAGAAATTAAAATAAGTCCCTATATTGATTTTTTTTTTTTTTTTTTGGGCAGAACCAGGGATTGAACTCAGGACTTTGTACTTGCCCAGCAAGCACTTGTTCTACTAAGCTATCTCCCTGGCCCCTGGTTTTTTTTTTTTTTTTTTTAGTGTAGACTGTTTATCATGTACAAGGTGAAGGCATAATTCAATTTTCTTTTCATATTTGCCCTTTAAATATTTTCTGAATATGTTACATGCCAATATGTGCTAATACATTCTCTTAGAACTCATACAATTGCAGCTATTTTAGGAAGGGGGACTAGTAGCTTTGTCATTTTCTGGATGTACAATGTACTAAATCTCTGAGTAAAATTTTATTATGCATTGGGAAAATCAAATCCCTAATTTGTAACTTATTAATATTAAATCATGCTAACCTCTTGAAGTTTCATGTTCTTATTTTGCTAAAAAGAAGAAAAAAAGAGAATAAAGACTATCTCTGGGGAGAACTGGGTAACTTCACG